AGGCTTACTTACCCATCTCACTGTCGGTGAGCATTTGGCTAGTGTCACAAACACACGGGAGGGAACGTCAACAGGTACTCACACACACACAATGCCCACATACACTTTTTATTGACTTGTAACCCACACAGAAAGATGTGTTTATCACAATGAATAAGCTCAGTGAGTTCCTGCAAATTGAAGGCACCAGCACCCAGGTCAGGCCATGGAATGCGCATGCCCGGGTCCCCAGAATCCCTACGTGTCCTCAGTTCCACTCATGGCCTTCTCCTCCAAGGGTAGGGGCTCCCGCTCAGCTTTCTCGTCTTCTGTGTCTGCGCTGTAAGGGCAGTCGTGGCACATACGCTGCCACACGTGCGCTGTGGCATTTACAAGATTCACCTGTTACTCTTTCTGGAAATTGCTCATCTCTATGCGTGGAGTGTGTGAATACACGATCGGATATTTACCTATTTTACTGCCGCTGATGAATGCCCGGATCATTTCCAGTTTGGTGGGTTTGAACGGTGCTTCTCTGAGTGGTTTAATCTTACATACATCTGACACTGGCATATTCCTAATTCTAGAACTATCAAGAGCTGTGGAATTTAACTTTGGTAGGTGATGCCTAACAGGTTTTAAGGCGGTTGTGCTATTTACGCAATCACCGTAAGGCAGGCCATTGCAGCAGAACCCTTACTAAGAGAACAGGTTTTGGAATCTCTAAGACTACCGTCAACTTACCACTAAACAGGTGTGCTCCGTTACAGCCGATTCTTACCTTCACGCCTCAGTTTATTCAACTATAAAATAGGTGTAAGATAAATTTCTAAATTTATGCGAATTCAATGATATGCTCTCCCCCCCGCCTTTTTTTTTGTTTGTTTACTTAGAACCATGCCTGGCACACAGTGAATATCTAGCTTATTATATGGTAGCTACCGGTCATTCAGCAGTAATTTAAACTAAACCAGAATGAGGAATTAGAAGCGGATATGGGGAATATAATCCACAAACAATTCCAGGTCTCTGATGGCAGAAAACTATGAAACTCTGACCCAGAAGGCATTACCAATTCCAGCGAGTGCTACAGTTGGACCCTGGGAAAAAAAAATCATTTAAACATTATCCCAAAACGCGTTTGCAAATTACTCTTGCCAGAGGCAAGGTTCTTGGATGCAGTGTATTACCATTCATTTTTTTCCTACCAGACATTACTCTTTAAAGACAGGACTGCCACGGGCTACTCCGGAAAGTCACTAATATAATACCTTTTATTATATTTGCCAATTTCACACTTTGCTCAACTCCATCCCTAAAGTTGTTGAAAAGTGACTGCAACTGTAATGTTAGTTCCTAGATTTTCTGGGATCGTATCTGTCTGACATCCCTAAAAAAAAAAAAAGGATAGTTGCCAAGTCCCCACATGAAATGACAAAGAACCTGCCTTTAGCTCATCAGTGTGGTGGCCTTGAGCGGCTGCAGCTGGAGTGACCTAGAAGCCAACACAGGTGCACCCCGTACAGAGCGGCTTGGTCCAGGGGCCCCCCGAGTGCAGCCACCTGAGGTCATTTTGGAAGTGGGTTCTGTGTTCTTGATAAATGGAATCCGATCTCACGGAGCAGTCACTCCTCTCAAGAAAGCACACGACCTACTTGAAAAAGATGTCATCTTTCGAGAAAGTTGTTGAGAAAGGGAACTTTTTGAATTTCTAAGCGAAGTCTTCTTGATCTTATAAGAAAAGTGGTCATTCAGTTTTTAAGGTCAAAGGGTTGGTTCCTGGATAGGCACAAAGCCTGTCTTCTTTTTCTCTTTCCCCTGGACATCTCCCCCATCTTTTTATGGCACCCTGCCTACCCCGATACCCTCCTCTGCCTCTCTCTCTCTCTCTCACACACACACACAACTTCTCCTCCATGCCCAACGGCTGGACTTGGATTTCACGGAGATCCAGAAGTGAGGAAGCTGAGGGAGACTTAGGACAGGGCAATGAGAAACCAGTAAAGTTGCCAGGGAGCCAAGGATTCTCCCGAGGTTTGCCTGTGAGAAGGCAGGCTCCAAAGAAACACACCTCCTTTCTCTGTTTTGTGTTCCATTCCGTCCCCAGCATTTATACCTGCCCAACAAACACCTGTTAAAGGAACAAGGTCAGATTGTGATGGGGGGGGGGCGGGGAAGTGCCTCTTCTCTCTCTCTTGCAATAGTACCAGCAAAAACGTGTGGAATTGAGGGGAGGAAAATCACTGCAGAGGGAAGAAATCAGGCATCAAGTGATTCTAGGCACGAGATTAATAACTTTTTATTTGCTTTTATTCCTTCCCCAGGTGTGAACTACTACAGATGACGCGCGACATGCCACGGTGTTCATGTGCCTGGACAGACATTACCTGAGTCCTGCAAGAGGGTCGTGGAGCCTCTCTCTGATCTGCGTAGATCAATTCCAGCGCCCCCCTCCCCCGAAAACACACAACTATTTCATCCAGGAAAGCTGATCGCCTCTGCTGATAGATTCTCAGCTACACAACTTTTTAAATAAGCATCAGCTACTTCGCGGCGGGAGGAGGGGTCGGCAGGTGGGAAGAAGTTGTAAGCCCCCTTTCACCCCTCGCAAAAGTCACCCAAGTAGGCGCTGGCAAAGGACTGCGGTTTGCGGGTTTAACGGGCCCTCAGGCCGGGGCGGTCCCGCCCCCCTCGCCGCCGCCGCCGCCGCCGCCCGCCCAGGTTCAAGTTCGTCCCCGGCGCCTCCTCAGGCCAGCCCAGCCTCGGCGTTGAGGGAATCGGACGCCGCCGGCGCGACCCCGAGGGGCCCCCCGCTGCAAGGCGAGGAGTCCGGGGTCATCCGGGCGCGAGGTCACTCGGCCACGCTTTTAGTGGCACCACGTGGGGGGAAAAGTTTCCAACTCGGCCAGGCCGGCCCTCTCTCAGAGGGGAGCTGGGGCGGAGACGAGGCCCCGCGTTTCCTCACCCGCTCCCTCGCCTGTCGCCCCGCAGGCGCGTCCCCCAAAGCCCTCTCCGAGGGTCGCCGGGCCACCCCTCTCCCCCGCGCGTCCCCGTCTCCTCATGCCCTCTTTCACTAGCCCGCTGCGCACGGGAAAATGCCCTGGTCGGGGCGGCGAGGTGCGGAGGGGCTGTGTCGGCGGAAGGCAGCTCAGGTGCCACGGCCGGGACGGGGAACAGGAGAGGGCTGGGGGCGCGCGCGCGCGCGCGTGCGGGGAGCGGTCAGGGGGCCGCACGGTCCCGCAGACGCCCCGGACGCGCGCGCCCCTTGCGCGGTCTCCCACCACCCCGCCCCGCCCCCCTCACCGTCCACGCGGGCCGCGACCCCCCGACTTGCCTCCATCCATCCATCCCCGCTCGCCCCCATCTCCCACCACGAGGACGCCCCTCCGCCCCCAGTGCGCAGGCCCGGCCGCCCCAGCGCGCATGCCCTGGGCTCGTGAACGCGGCCAGCCCCCAGCCTTTTTTTTTTTTTTTTTTTTGCTTTTTCTACAACACTCTTACAACTGGGGAGGGGGCGGGGGCGGAGGGAGCCCAGGCCGGCCGGCTCACGTGATCCAGGGGCTTGGGGACGGCGCGGGGAGCGGGAGCGCGCGCGCGGCGGCGGCGGCGGCGGCGGCGCGAGGCGCGGGGAGGACGAGTGCGCGAGGCCGGGCGCGCACGCGCACGCGCACGCGCGCTCTCGGGGACTGGGCTGAGGCGGCCGCGGAGGGGGAGGAGCGGGAGAGCCGAGCGAGGCGGGCGGAGGATGGGGCCGTGGCCGGGCTCCCGCTGCAGCCGCCCGGGGACACGCCGTGCACCCTCCGGCTCGGGGCTCTCGCGGCCACGGCGGCCACGGCAGCAGCAGCAGCAGCAGCAGCGGCGGCGGTGGCGGCAGCGGCGGCAGCGTTAGCGGCGAGAGCGGCGTTCCCGGCAGCGCTTCTCTGCCTCCGGCCGGGCGACGGGAAGAGGCAGCGGCCACGGCTTGAGGCGGCGGCGGCACACCGGTGTCTCTCCCGCTGGAGATTTCTTTCTGCTTTCCTCAGCGACCGACTGACTGACTGGCTCACCCCCTCCCTTTTTCAATTTTTTTTTTTTTTTGAGGAAGGGTGACCTCTTCTCTGAGACTGGAAAACATATATATATATATTTTTTTTTTTTTTTGTGAGAAGGAGGTGGTGGTGGGGTCCGGGTGGCAGCATCAGGGTTTGCTGCTTCTCTTTTTTCATCTCCCTCTCCTCCCCCCCCTCGAAGACCGAAAAGCAAAACCCCACAACTGCTCCAGCATCCTCCTCCTCTCCTTCCTCCGCCTCCCTTCGCCTCCACCTCTCCTTCTGCTAATGAACGCATTATTATGCTTCCCTTTCTGGGGGGTCTCGCCCCTCTCCGGTCGCTCCCGAACCCCGGCCTCCCCTGGACTCATTTCTTGCAAAATTTTGGAGCCTGGGAGTGAGTTTGCTCCGAGGCGTGCGTGAGAGAGAGGCGGCGGGGGTGTCTCCCCTGCGCGAGGGGCGGGTGAAGTTCATTGCCCCCACTTTTTTCCGCCCACCCCCCCCCCGAGACCTTTTTCGGACCTTGCTTGGGGGGCTCGCCAAGCGGGGTGAGGAGGTGTGTGTGTGTGTGTGTGTGTGTGTAGGGTGGGGAGGACGCAGGCGTTTTCGGGGGGCGCGGCGGAGAATGGCCGCGGGGAGGGCTCCCCGGAGCCTCCCAGTCTCTTGATCAAAGCATTCCGCTATTCTGATTTATTGCCTGCTTGGTGAGTTTTTATTTTTTCTCTCTCTCTCTCTCTCTCCCTCTCTCCTCCCCTCTAAAGGAGACCTGTGTGTTCAGCCATTACTTTGCTCGGCGCTGCTCCCAGGCTCCTCCGACCCCTCGGTGCTGTGGGGGAGCCCCCCACTTGGGTTCCTCGCCTCTCGCCCTCGCTCCGCGTCCCTCCTCCCCTCTCTCCGCCCCTTCCCCCCCTTTTTATTTTTTCTTTCTCCGCTCTTTCTTCCCCCCCCCCCCTCCTCCTCTCTCTCCCTTCTTTCGGCCACCGCCGCCGGGGCGGAGGGAAGCCGTGAAGGGGGAGGGAGGACTCGGTGTCAATTTTGTGTGTGTGTGTGTGCGCGTGTGTGCGCGCGCGTGTGTGTGGCCGCGGCCGGAGCCTGTGGCGGGCGGGCGGCGAGCGGGGAAGACCCCGGCGCGGGCAGAGCCATGGATGGCCCGGCGCGGGGCCATGGACTCCGCAGAAAGCGGCGGTCGCGATCGCAGCGAGACCGGGAGAGGCGCTCCCGGGGCGGGCTCGGGGCAGGCGCGGCGGGCGGCGGCGGGGCCGGCCGGACCCGGGCGCCCTCGCTCGCCTCGTCGTCGGGCTCCGACAAGGAAGACAATGGGAAGCCCCCGTCCTCCGCCCCGTCCCGGCCCAGACCCCCGCGGAGGAAGCGGAGAGAGTCCACGTCGGCCGAAGAGGACATCATTGATGGATTTGCCATGACCAGCTTTGTCACTTTTGAAGCGCTGGAGGTAAGGGGGGGAACCCCCCTACCGCCCCCCGGGTTTCTCTTTATGCACGACCCCACTCGGCGGGCGCCTGCTTCTCGCGTTTCCTCCCCCTGCCGTGCACGGGGGCCGTCCGTCCGTCCGTCCGTCCGTCTGTCTGGGCCGAGGTTCTTTTTTTTTTTTTTTTGTGGGGGGCGGCGGGCAGGGGGGGCGGGGAGTAGGGGGCGCGGGCAGACAGGCAGGCAGCCTGCAGGAGGGAATCGCAGCCTTGCCTGGTCGCGTTTCCTCGTTCTCGCTCGCCTTTCCCCTGCGCCCCCTTGCCTGCACCCCCTCCCTTCCCAGCCGGTGGGCAGAGAGAAAGGGGTTCAGGCATGACAACAATGCGCCCCCCCCTTTTTCCTCGGATAGCTCTGCCCCCACTCCTTCCTCCCCTCCCTCCCCAATCATGGCTTCTTGGCTGGTCCAAGTGTCTTTGGTGGGTTTGGGGCGCCTGTAGACGGTCGTCTGTGTGCTCGGCACAGAGCCGTATGTCCGTGTGTGTGTCTGTGGAGTGTGGACTTGGCCTGGGTGTCCTCGGGACCGGAGGCTGTAGGGTTTTGTGGTGCCTTGGCCACCCCCTCCACCCCTTTTTTGTTTTATTTATTTATTTTTTGGTGAAGCTGGGGAAGGGGGCGTTTTCTCCTGGTTGGGAGAAAGGAGGGAGGGAGGAGGGGAGAGAGCAGAGGAGGAAAGGATGGAATAGCTTTCCTGTATTCTGTGTGGGCTCTGCTACAGAAGGGGTTAATGATAATATTAGCTATACACATGCAGATGCACATGTGTGTGTGTGTGTTTGTGTGTGTACACACGAGCAATTGAACTAAAGGACAGAAAAAAGGTGCAGTGTACAGGGTGAACTGGTGGGGAGGAAGGATAAATCCATCTGAAGGGCTTGTCACCAATTGTCCCCCACCCTTCTGAGCCATTGGCTCTGTGTGTGTGTGTGTGTGTGTGTGTGTGTGTGTGTGTGTGTGTGTGTGTGTGTGTGTTTATTCCTTGGGCACCTGCCGGCAGCCCTGATTCCCAGATGCACATTTTCCTGTCAGCTCTTGGGAGGGTGGGGGCAGCGAGGAGGGAGGGGGAGAAGACCGTCCAGGGGTTAGGAGGAAATTATTTTTGGCCTGGACACATCTGATTTGGTGCTAGGATTGGTCACTAGGCACTATAAAAGTAACCATCTCCTTTCCTCCCTGTCTCCACCCCCAGCGTGCACACACACACACACACACACACACTGAGGCTTTGAGATTCTGCAGAGTTGGTCCGGCTTTCTTAGGCACCAAAACCAAGATGTAAGTTGGTTTTTAGCCTCTGAGACATCTGATGTGATGGTTTGAGATCCCCGAAGGAAACTTTTTCCCTTTTCTTTTGGTTTTTGTTGTTGTTACAGTGTTGTCTCAGATGCTCAGACACAAGCTTTGTGAAATGATAGCTTAAATCTCATCGTGTAGGTTTAGATGTTTGATTCTGAGTATGTGTTTTGGTCTCAGGTTTAATATTTAAACAACAGCAACAACTCTTCCTGTCAGGGTTGCACTTTTCTGTTCCAGTTCCTTTTGGCTGGGCTGCTGCTGGTGATGATGGTAGTGGCTGGTGGTGGTGATGGTCTTGGTGGTGACCAGGGATTTTTAATGTTTGTGACCTGAATCAGTAACCTTTTGGTTCTAGGACTGGCACCTTATTTATTTATTTAGGCTATGATTTTGAGTGATGAGGCTGATCGCTTAGCGGGCTAATTCTGTGGCTTTCGCTCTGCCAAGGTGGGTGAGGAAAGTGTGATGGTGGCTTAGGGAAGTGCTGGGGAGAGCTGGTTACAAGTGGTTCTGCAGGGAGCAGGAAGGGCCTTCAGATTCCCTTGGAAGGGAGAGAAGTCACCTAGGTACATGTTTCTGATTACCCTTCGTGACTGGGCTGGGGGGGTGGGGGGATGCACATCTATCCCATTTGGCTTTTGCGAAAAAAACTTGCCCGTTATAGAACAACTTGGTTTTTAAACATGACCTAGTCCAGTATGTGCTGCTGCTAGCATTCCTTCCCTTGCTGTTAATATTTTTTTTTTGGCCTGCCACTTTTCTAGATTCAAGCCCAGGTTATTTGGGTTGTTTGAGTGTTAGACCGCCTTCACATCTGAATGTCCTGTGTGCCTCTAAGAGACTTTTTCAATTTATTTTAAAATGTTATAGAAAAATGTGAGCACACACATAGGTAGACAGAAAAGTGTAATGAATCTTACTGTAACCACCACCAACTTAAACCTCTTATTTCTTCTTTATCTGCTCGGTCCCCCCTCCCTCTGTGATGTGATCTCATCTGATAATATTTCCGTATGACTCTTGACTCGAAAATTTCCCAAAAAACCCCACTGAAAACCCCAGTGTCATTATCCTAAATAAATGACCAAGTTCGCTAATATCAAGTGTACTGTCAGTATTCACCTTTATGAAGTCCAAGTTTTATAGGAGAGCTATAAATAAACTCTTTCAGATTAAAACCAGTAGGAAATTTAAAACAATCGTCACCTATGTCTAGATGTTTGGGAGAAGATAGATATGTTTCCTGGTTATCTCACTGTGTCCACGCTGGGTGGTTAGAACACATGTGTGTAATGATTGTTCACACCTCTCGTGTTCCACTGTATTTAGTTTGGAAAATTCACCGAACTATCAAGAAATGTAAGAGCTTATTAGGAAATTGGCAACCAAGCCGTGAGCTGGGACACATATGTGTGTTTCAGGAGTGTTTGCAAATGTTAAGAATTAGTCTAGATGTTTAAGGGTTACCCAAAATGCGTACTGTCTTTTTGTGAGTTGCATTTAGAATTGAAAACAATTGTCACCATGTATTGTCAAGGCTGCTGCCAGGATGGTGTTGTGATGAGAAACCAGAAATACTGGCTTGCACGGCTAGGCTTTCTAGCTTACGGCAGCCCAGGGCAATAGCTGGCAGATTCTAGAAGCTTGTACTTTCAGTTCATATGGGCACACTGACTGATTTTGTCCTGAGTGGCTGACTTTGGACTTTGTGTTTAAAAACGATGCTCCTAATTCATCATGAAATATGCTGCTGTGACCAGTTCCGCTCTAGCCATACTTTGTTCTGAGACTTGTGTAAAACCAGTAAACTTGCGTCATGAGAACCTGCATTGTTAGGTTGGGTGTTCTTTGCAGTTGTTGCATTGTTAAGGTGGTGAAAGCCTTAGATTTTTACAGCCAGTGAAACTGGCTTAGGTAGTTTCATATTCTGCAGGGACACTTGACTTGAGTAATTGTGCCCTGCAGTTCAAGTGTGTCATTGTGAAGAGTCTCATGATAGAAGATAAGAGGATAGGTGAGGAGGCTAAAGTTGAACTTGGTGTTCTTCGCGTTATGCTGTGGAGGAGCAGAATTACTATTTGGATATGATATTGTTTATTTGGTTATTCTTAGAATGACAGGATAAGAGTATAGACCCTCAAACAGGCATGCCTAGTTCACAAATGACAAATGACAGTGCTGGGGACTCAGCTACCACCAGAGTATCCTGATTCATGACAGTTTGGCTTTCTGTTCTCTGTGTGTGTGTGTGTAGTTGTTTTTTGTTTTTTTTTTTTTTTTTTTTTAAATCAGGAAGCCATAGCTGAAAATATGACTTTGTAAATATTTTACTTATCTTTTGGGCATAGGTTTCTTAGAGCGGTCTCTTTTGCTACAGCTGATCCAAAGAAGCAAGGGGTATGGTTGGTGGGATTCGTGGTTGAGAGGGCCAGTGAAGGCCGTTACAGCCTTATGAAAATGAAGGCTCATTTCTGATGTGTCAGCCCAGGTCTTGGATGTGGTCATTATTTGCTGGCTGTGTTTTAGGTCTTACCCACACGACAGTGGTGTAAGTAGGCTGTATGGAATTGAATGTATTTCCAACAGTCCGTGTTAATAGGTTTCAATAATTTGTAATGATCAAATATCACTTAATCATTTTAAAAACTATATTAATTATACTCCTGGCATTAATCAGCATGTAACTATGGAGTGTTTAATACGTGCCAGGCACAGAAAAACACAGGCATTGTCTTGAAGGACTGTGCAGTTTAGTTGGCAAATCAGGTTCAACATCTATAAAACATAATTTTGAAGCAAGTGCTTGAATGCTTGCAATCAAGCTAAGAGCGATAGGCTTTCAGGCACCAGATAGTGGGATTTCAGGTGTTTGAGACATCTTCATGGAAGAGGTGAGGCCTCTGAGGATGAAGTGGTTTGGATAGGCAGGGGAAGTAGGGTACAAGGGGACCCTGTCAGAGGTGCAGTGACAGGGCACAGAAACGAACTCATGCAGGAGATGTGGGGTGATTAGGCAGGAGTGCTTGGTGAGGGTCGGGAGGTCTGGGGTGGCCTTCTAGCCAGTACTTTCCTTGAGAAGTAATTGCCTAGTGTAACAGCTTTTCTGTTGCAAGTAGTTGAACTAGCTCTTGAGCTGGAAGGGACCATTGCTTTTCAGGATGTCCAGGGGTGGTTCTCCAGGTCAAAGTGGAGTGAGCTACCTTCAAACAGATTTTGGGGCTTGATGGCTTGGACAGAGTTAATGCATGACTTGCTGTGCCAGAATAAAAGTCTTTATTACAGGGTTGGGAATTTTAAATATCAGATAAGGTACTGCAGTATCCCCTTTACTTACATTTCTTTGACCACAAGACACTTTTATTCTCATCTTTATCATCTGTAACACAGTGTGGAAACTGCTGGAAACGCACTCATAAAAATCCGTCCAGATTTTGGCATAGGGTGACCTGTGCCCCTGGGATGAGCGGGCTGAGGGTGGATGACCTGAAAGGCCCAGAGGCTGGTGTGGGCGGCTGTTGCTAAAGCAGAAACTGCAAGGGCAGGGTGAGGTGTAAATCCTGAGGGGAGACTCCTGCACCTTTTCCCCCTGCCTCCCTTGCTCCCTGGTGTCAGCCCTTTCACTGATCTTAGCATCTCCACCACGGGATGAGGATGGGCCAGTGATGCTCATTG